TTCTGATGTGCAAAGGTTTTGGGTTTGACCGCTGATAAGGGTACATACAAGAATCAACTTATGAGCCTAGCTGGTTTGGCTCAGTGGATAGAGTGTCAGCCTGCGGACTAAAGGGTCACAGGTTTGGTTCTGGTCAAGGGCACAAGCCCGGGTTGTGGGCTCGATCCCTAGCGTGGGGCGTGCAGGAGGCAGCCGATCATTATGAAATGTTTCTCTCTCTCTCTCTCCCTCTCTCCCTTCCTCTCTGAAATCAATAATAATAAATACTTTTTAAAAAAGAATCAACTAATGAACGCATAAGTAAGTGGAACAACAAATCGATGTCTCTCTCTCTCTCTCTCTCTCTCTCAAGTCAATAAATAAATATTTTTTAAAAAGAAAACACATTTAAAAAAGAAAAGAGCTGGTAACCGCTGTGGCATTTACTGAGCACTCATTGTGTGCCAGTCATGGTGCTGAACACTCCATGTGCATGAACTCACTTCATCCCCGTTGCAATGAAGTAAATCCACACTAGTCTACCCATTTTAGAAATGGGAAAACTGAGACACAGAGAGATTCAGTAAATTGTTCTAGGTCACACAATATGAGGTTCTACCCAGACAGTTTGGCTCCCTGGCCAAGCTCTTAGCCATGATGCTAGACTGCTGAGAAGGGATTTCGCCACATCTGTCTCATCCTTCCCCCACCCTCTGCCCCCCAGTCCCTAATGCTAGAGCCCTGGGAGCTGCCCTCTGGGCCTGCAGGGTCCTACTGCCCAGGCAACCTGGGCCTAGGGCAGTGATGGCGAACCTATGACACGCGTGTCAGAGGTGACACGGGAACTCATTTTTTTGGGTTGATTTTTCTTTGTTAAATGGCATTTAAATATATAAAATAAACATCAAAAATATAAGTCTTTGTTTTACTATGGTTGCAAATATCAAAAAATTTCTATATGTGACACGGCCCCAGAGTTAAGTTAGAGTTTTTCAAAATGCTGACACGTCAAGCTCAAAAGGTTCGCCATCACTGGCTTAGGGGGAAGGAGGAATCTAATAACCCCGCCACGCCACCACCATGCAGGGCTTTACAATTAAAGAGACCTCCCACCTGCCTCAGCCCAGTGGGGAGGCATCTTGAGCATCACCATTTGACAGAAAAACAGGCCTACGTTGGGCAAGGCCCAGAGCAGAACCACGGAGACTCCCCCTTTGGGAGGTCCTCAGGCCCAGATGGACCCTCACACCCCTTCCCGCTGGGTCTCCCTGCTGCTGATGTTTATTGGGTACCGATACCTGCAGGATCCCAGTTCGATTGCTGTGTCAATGCAACCTTCTGAAAGCCATAGAGTTTCCTGTCACATGTCCCTGATCCACCTGCCTGACTCCAGGCCCTCCCCTCAGAAGGATAAGGTTGCCTGGCCCTTCTACCAGGGCCAGGACTGCAGCCCTGGGACAGAGCAGGCCCCTTTCTGGCAGCCCACACAACTTCCTTCTTATGGTTTCTTATTTTTTTAATCTCAAGGCTGGCCCTCAGCACCCTGACTCAGGACAGTTTCCACCCTGAGGGAGTAGAAGGGTCTTGGGGGAGCATTTAGGATCACCCTTTGGATAGTAGGAGGGGTGGGGGTCCACCTCCAAAGCCCGTAGGCCATTATTGTTCCTGAGGGAGAAGTTCCTCTGAGAGCCCTGCTGAAGGAGCTGGGACCTTCCCAAGTGTCAATGTAAGAAATGTCCAAACCTTTAGGGAATTTTTATGAGTTTATTTGAGCCAAAACTGATGACAATTGCCGGAAAGCAAGATCTCAGATCTGGAGAAGGACAGTTTTGCAGTTTCTTTTGTGCCTTTGAAATTAAGGAGGGAAGTAAGGAAGATTACGTGAAGATGGGAGAAAGCAAGGTGGGGATAGGATTGCAGGACAGTTAATTATGGGCTCTCTTGAGGGTTAATACCCCCTCAGAGGGGGGTTACTTCTGGCATTTCCACGGTGTGTTAACCTAGATGCACAAGAACAATGGACAGGGCTTGCTTAAAACCTTTCACTAAAGAAGTTATAGGCCTGGGCATGACTACCCACCATGACCTGCCCAGTTAGGAATTTATGATCAGATCACCCTGTGAGGTTACTTTCCATAGCACCCTGCTCCCCGCCTTTTTAAAATTGATTTCAGAAAGGAAGGGAGGGGGGAGGGAGAGAGAGATAGAAACATCAATAATGAAAGGGAATTATTGATTGGCTGCCTCCTGCACGCCCACTACTGGCAATCGAGCCTGCAACCTGGGCATGTGCCCTTGACTGGAATCGAACCCGGGACCCTTCAGTCCACAGGCCAACACTCTATCCATTGAGCCAAACAGGCTAGCCCCCTCCCCCGCCCCCCCCACACACACTTTTTTTTTTTTCTATCCACAAGGCTGGCCCTCAGCACCCTGACTCAGAACAGTTTCCACCCTAAGGGAGTAGAAGGGGCATGCAGGAGGCAGCCGATGAGGGGACTGGTGAGCAACTGTGCAGCACTTCAAGGCTTTGTGATGTGGGTGTGGCAGTGCCTCAGGCATCAGGTTGCCTGATTTAGCAAATATTTGGGACATACGTATATTAAAAATGATTCTTTGCTTATCTGAAAACCAAATTTCACTAGGTGTCCGATGCTTTATCTGATGATCTACTTGAGTGCTCTGGGTAACCTAGCATACTTAAGCAAGCCTGAGATGGTGTGTGGCTGTGGGGGACTGTGACAGGACATCAGAGATGGTCTGTGGCTGTGACAGAGTCACCAGGAGTGAGGATGTGGGTAACTGACTGTGTATCTCTCTGTGACTCTCTCAGGCTCTAGCAGTGCTCCCTCAAGGCAGGGTTAGGGCTGTGGGCTGTTTGCTGAGGGAGGCCCAGCAGGGGTAGGAGGCCCGCCCTGGGCAAACACTTAGATCCGGCTCCAGAAGGGACTGGATGCAGAGCCTGTGGCCACCAGATTGTAAAGGACATGTCCTCCTCAAGGCCAAGCCAGCCCTGGGGGCCTCAGAGTACTCTGCCCTGGGCCTTTCAGAGAGGCCTCTGGAACCACCTCTCTACTCTGCTACTTCCTGGTGACATCACACAGGTCATTGCACAATCTTCTAGAACAGTGCCCCCAGAATACTGCCTTGTTGCCCTAGGCAACCTGGAAAATTTCTCCACCCAAACTGGCAGGCCCAGTTACCCTGAGGAGGTGGTGAGGGTGGGGAGGAGTCAGGGGGGGCCTTCTCCTCACGTCCCAGAGGGAGATCCAGGCAGCCATCCATATGTCTGACTAGATGGTGAGTAGGAGGGGGTACCCAGGAGCAAGTCAAGACTGGATGGGGGCCCAGGGTGGGGGCTGAATCTTGAGGCAGAGAGGGAGTGGGGACTGTGCCAAGGTCACCCCCAGGGTAGTGAAAGGGGTGTCATATAATGGGGGACAGGAACAGAGTCTTGGGTTAAGAGCTGGGAGACCAAGATTATTATTTTTTAATGTATCTTTTTATTGTTGACTAGAGGCCTGGTGGGGCAGTTCCTCAGCTAAGCTTGCACCCTCTCGCAGTCTGGGACCCCTTGGGGGTTGTCTGCCTGCAGCGGGGAGTGGGCCTAAGCCGGCAGGTGGACATCCCCCGAGGGGTCCTTAGCGCTGCCACAGAGGCTGGAGAGGCTGCCACCACCGCTGCTGCGCTTGCCAGCCGTGCCAGGCTTCTGGCTGAACAGCGCTTTCCCTGTGGGAGCGCACTGACCACCAGGGGGCAGCTTCTGCGTTGAGCG